GCAGTGAAATGATAAGAAAATTATCGAAAAAAATCCATACATTTTTTTATGAAATTTTTTACGGTGAACGAAAATCGCTAGAAAAATCAGAAAAAAAACCAGTGTCAGGATTATAAAAACTTTTCTAATATTTTTTTTTCAATCTTGAAAAAATCGGGTGAAAACGTCAGGGTGGTGTCTCTTACCGTTTTTGAGATATGACCGAAAAACTAACGACCAATTATAGCTATGAAAATTATCGTTATCATGTTTGTTTTATGATTTTCTTAAAATGGCGTTGTTGAAAAAAAAAATCACAACATGGAAAATGGTTATCCCTTGTCTTTGTTTGGAATTTTCCTCCAGCGTGGAAATTTTCATGAAAAACATTTTTTAATTTATATTTTTAATGGACTGCTGAGGTAATTTCCTTAAAATTTTACTAAAAAAGTGTTTTTCTTCGATAGCTGGTTCATAAGTTATGGATTTTAAAAATATGTGAATTTCGGAAAAATCAGATAAGATGAACCAACATTTTTCGGGACATTAATTCATTAGTCATAACTCAAACCGGTAAAATTCTTCCTTAAATTTTTACTTGTGAAAGATAAGAAGTATTAAACCAAGCAAAAAATATATTAGAAAATTTGTCATTCATTACCCTGGCAATGGTTTTTCCTGAGTTTTCTTGCGATTTTCCTCCACAGTTAAAATGTTAGTGGGAAGAATTTTTTAGATTGCTGAGATAATCACTACATTTTAGTTCACAATGTTCATGAGTTATGCTTTTTCAATGTGCGGGATGTTCGGGAAAATCCGAAAAATTGTCTAGAATAAATTTATTTTTTATTTTTTTTTTTTCGTTCATAATATGAACGAATTAATTAATTATCATAAACACTACATGTGGGAAAAAATTCATTAAATTCTAAGACCCTTCAGCCGAGGGGCGATCAACTTCATAAATCAGCTGAATTGTAAATACACACTTCGGAAAATACACAAAAAAAAAATACGTAAATGCGTACACGCTAAAACTAAAATAACCTTATAAAAAAAACTCAAAAATACCTCGACCTATACTTTGTACACAAAAAATACATTTCATAATGAATTTAATACACCTAAATACAAAAATACACAACATTAAAAATACATAAATACGGAAAAATTCAAAATACACCTTTTTGAGTCGGGTAGATTAATCGAAAATACTCAAGTTGACAGCCCCTCGCCTTCGGCCCAAACCTGTCCGCATATAAAACAAAAACCACAATTAGTGTAAACAAAATTGAGTCACACTAAGTAAAAGTGCAACACCATTTGTACTTATACTTAAAACAACTCATTTTTGTTGGCAAACGATTGGGTGTTCAGGGATATCATTTATATTCTGCTATATTCATACAAGGGCTCTTAAGTTAACAAGGCATGCTACCTTATATTCATACACATATGGCGGTAAGCTAAAATCGGTATTATCCTCGGATTAAATCCCGATCAAGAATGTCCGGCTGCTTTGATGTCGCCATCAGAGTTATTCAACACGATGCTATGCAAAAACTTCGCAGATCATCCAAACAGGGACGGTATTAAAAGTTAATCCGAGTAAGCTCTTACCGCCAATAATGTCTTCTCTGTCGAATTAATAAGGGTGTACTGTAGTCAATAGTTTTCGCACGCTTGAATATTATGAACAAGTGATGAGATTAATTTACATTTAGCAAATGTTTAATAGCAAATTTGTTTTTGTTCCAGTTCGACCTAATTCACGAATTTCACTTGCCAGGTGTCAGTTAAATAGTACACTCAACATTTTTCTTTTTCTTTTAACGAACGGCATCACCTAACTGAAATACATGATATGTGTTGAACCAGCTGTCAAATGCATTTAAAATGCATCAATGTTCATCCTCGTGTTCATTTGGTTCATCTAGAAGTTTTGTAATGCACAGATTTCACAGATATATGTTATCAACAAGTTTCAGTTAGTGTACTTTCAGCAAAAAGTCTTCAAGTTAGCGATCGTCTAGTGTATCACTTACACAATTCACATTTTTTTTTCTTTTCTACGGTTAATCTACTTTAAGTCAAATTATGTTTAATTGTTTGCAAAAATTAGAAGATTCTTAGAAGCAAAGCACACCGGTAAAACACGTGTTTGTTTGAGAAAATTGACGGAAAAATCCCATTTAGTACACGGGTGCATTATCAATTATACTATGGGTACCGCTAAGGTGGCTAATCAAATCCGTTTCCCAATCACACACATGATCGGGAGGAGACGTGTGTGTATAGTGGAGATTGGAAAACGGATTTGATTGCCTACACGTCAATAGCAACATATTTCGTGCACCTTAACGGTACGGTATTGCAAGAGCAAATTTTCATTACGTCGAAAGTAGCAAAGGTAAACAAATTCGAGCTATCAGTGTAAATTGATGCTCTGGGATCACATCCCATTTTTAAATTTATTTACCAGTCAAATTGCTTTTGACGTAATCACCTACCGATCAAAATATTTTCCCGATTTCTATGGAGATGCTATTTGTGAAGTAATGAAATTGGGTTGTTAGCGGAATGCTTAAATAAAACAGCAAAAAAGGGTTATCTTCCATTTAATTCCACTTAATTAATTTTGGTATCCATGACAGATACGTATTTCGACTACAATGTGCAGTCTTCATCAGTGTCATTCCCACTAAAGAACTTATCAAAATCTAACCCCCTTCACAGCAAAAAAAATGTAATATCAATCAACGTAATTCAAGCTGATGTATGAAATAATGATGTAATAGCAAAAAGCAGATGGTAATCAATGGATGTAATTTTGTTCGCAAAATCGATGTACATCGTACAATGTGATATTACACAACCGATTGATTGACCTGGTTGCAGCAGTTTCGATGTAATATTCAACAACTTTTTTTGCTGTGTTAAGTACTCATCCCCTAGGTATAAAAGTCAAGATCACAGGTATATAAATGAAACTACAATGTGTTGAATCGGAACCTACCTAACTAATTAAAACCAAAGATTTAAGTAAGCTAAAGGAGAAAAATCTATTCGACTCTCTAATAAGGAAAATCCCAAAGGCTTGGTAGCCATCATAATGAAGTAATGAAATTGGGTTGTTAGCGGAATGCTTAAATAAAACAGCATTGCTTCATTATGATGGCTACCAAGCCTTTGGGATTTTCCTTATTAGAGAGTCGAATAGATTTTTCTCCTTTAGCTTACTTAAATCTTTGGTTTTAGAGTTGGTTGGAAATGCTAACATGAAGCTTTAGTGTGATGATTTATTAGCTAGAGAATGATCTTTAGAAGAGGGTAGGTGGATAGTTCCGTTAGAGTACGGCAGTATGAAAATTGAATAGAAGTTGAAAATGAGCGAAGGGCCATTAAAGCGACAGTTTTCAAGATAGACGCACATTTTTGCCTAGCCCGTACGATGTACGCGGGGACTTGAAGTATGTCTCCAAGTCCACAGGCAAAAATGTGCGTCCCTCTTGTTGCTCATAAACTGACTGCGGCTGTGGAATAGTTCTAGCGACGTTTTCATCACTACCTAAAGCCCCACGGTGCGAGAGCATTTCCAGTCTTTGGTTTTAATTAGTTAGGTAGGTTCCGATTCAACACATTGTAGTTTCATTTATATACCTGTGATCTTGACTTTTATACCTAGGGGATGAGTACTTAAGGGGGTTAGATTTTGATAAGTTCTTTAGTGGGAATGACACTGATGAAGCGGCGCACAATGCATCCTGATTAGTGTTGGAAAAGTTCTCAATATTTCACGAAGATAATAACGGGAAAAGTTCGCGAGTCATGATGATTTTCACGAACTTTTTCATCACTGATCCGGATCTGATACGTGGCGGTAAATGTAACAAGAAATCAAAAGATTTAGCTGTCGCTTTGCCGCATATTATTAAAACCGGATGCATTGTACACCGCTATTAAGTCTATCAGTTTTATAAATTATTCTTGCCTTCTTCGCAGGACCCCTAGATGAACCGACGAAGTACAAAACTTTTGTAGGTTAAAATGATAGGGTAAATTATGGCTTCGGCAACATCTTAACCAACTATCGTCAGGGAGTAAATGAAGTCGTTGAGCTGTATTTTTTACATGAGGATACATTATGCGTTCGCTAACTGACAGGAACTAAATGCGTAACTGTTTGTAGTATTTTTTTGACAATTGAAATTTATGACAGTGGTCAGCATTTGGCTACAGTGGCCGGAGTAAGCGCTGATGGGCTATGTTTACCCCCTGACGAGGAGGTTTGATGACGGCACCGGCATAGTGGTTAACATCCACACATCTCACGCCAAAGTCATTAGTTCAAATCTCATCCCGGATGACACAAGAGTGTTAAAGTTGACTACACTAGACGTTCGCTAACTGAAATGCATTTCATTTCAACTAGTTGTCAAATCCAATTAAAGTGCAGCAACGTTCATCATCGTGTTAATCTGGTTGATCTTAACGTTTTGAAATGCAGCAATTTGCCATGATTGATAACTGAAACTTTTTTCAGTTAAAGCAAGGAATCAAAAATATCTAAATTTGACAAAATAACGCTATGTTATAAATGGAAAGCAATCATGATATAATCTTCTTTACTTTTTGTCATGGCAATATGCCTTTGTAATACAACGTATATTCGTTATAAGACAGGTAACACAGTAGTGTATAATGACAACAACAAAAGGTTTTACCGAAGCCGTCATTTACTCTACTCACGATATGCGTTGATATAACCATGAGAGAAAGGTCTATTGAAGTTCGGATTATAGGAAACGCGGAGGTTGAAACTGAATATTCAACAAATTTGCTATTGCATTATAACATTATGTATATATTTTTTAAATATTGCATGTATCTAGGTTAAACATTATACACGACATTAATTAGTCAAAATCAAAGTCATCAGCCTTAAATGTGCCACCGTATTTCCATCGTTCTTTTGATTAATATTAATTTTTTAAATGTTCATTTCTTATTTGTATTTTCAGGTGTTGATTGGCCTAGGATGTGGTTGGATCTTATCAATTCTGTTTAGCATGCCACAGTTGCTGCTAGTTTCTCCATATCATTATGATGCGTACTACGAAGTTTGTCTACCAAACTTCGTAACCAGTGGGTCCCTTATTTACAACACCAGTTTAACGGCCTTCACCATATTTCTTCCAATCGTTCTAATTTTGGGATGTAACATGAAAGTAAGAAAACATTCTTTAAACATACATTATGTCGTGTTCAGAGAAAGGCAATATCTCATTAGAGTCGTTCAAATTTCAATACATTTTTTAGTTCTCTTCCAAATGGTACAATAGCGGTCCCTTTCCCATAGACCTTTTTGACGTTTAATCGTCTTTCTCTATCTAGCGCACATCAATAAATTGACGGTTTGTTTTCCCACTAATCTGTTTCCCTCTTGCTCGCACTCGTTCGATTTAAATGGTGCAGTAGTGTGCGCCGATTAAACGTCAAAAAGCTATATTTATGGACTAGGTTCTAAAAGTCATATTTTGCTTTCAACTGAATATCAGATAAACATTTCTCACTGGCATCACTGGCCTTCCTATGTCGCCAATGTCACTTATGACATCCGAAGTCGCTAGTCTGACTAGTGCGCTTTTTACATCAGGGTCTTTATAGAGTCTCTTTAAACAAACTTTTGTTACAGCCATTGATTTATTGGTTGCGATCCAGGGATGCTGCAATTAACATTGAAGGTTTATATGAAAAAAAAAAATGCGGAATGGAAAATTGGAAATGTATATAGAGGAAATGCTGGCTTCGGCAATTAGGCACCTTTAGTTTGTTTATGAACATTTCCTCTTAAAATGATGATGATGATGATGGTCCCACCTCCTACCCCTACAAAGGTTTGAGCTGGACGATTTATCTTTAAGATAATTAAATATGACATTTTAACCAGGTTAGCAAACAAAATCGAGCTGGTAACAGTTACAGATATAAATTCCCTCTAGAATTTACAGTTGCTTCAAAGCGATATAAATGTGGAAAAGCTCCACCTAAAATATTCATAAGTATTACAAGCGAACAAAAGTTAATGAACAATCAACAAAGCATCCACAAGCTATCACAATTTTCTGCAATGTCTGGAATGCTTACGATACAAATAAAGTAATTATAAAAAAAAAAGAAATGCTCACGAACCCCCAACATTTGCAAGAAACTTACTACTAACTCAAGGTATCTTCCAAATAAGTTTCAAAATTGCATTTTTTTTTATCAAATTTTAAATTCAGTCCTCTATATCCGCAATACGCGCGCGAGGCTCAAACCTTTGTTAACTACTTTTTTTTAAGGAGACCTCCATACACAATAATAGGCTTCTAATGCTACTACTAAATCAAATATCCAAAATCAACACAATATTTTTTTTCGTGCTACAATAATTATTAAAAAGTCGTTATGACAGCTATCCATATAAAATTATCCGTTAAAACTTCGTCAAAATGCAAAATTTGTTAATACATAAAAAAAAATCATTAGATAACTGTTCAAAATACACCTTTAACGTGTGAAATGCAATGTCTCTTAAATTCTGTGTAGTTGCACGTTTAGTGTGTCTGGGCATCGAATTGAAAACATTTATGTATGTATGTATGTAAGGTAGCCACCATCCCTTCGAAGATCTTGTCTTGTATGCAGCTCCACTTAATAGCAAGATCAATTTGAGCTACCGATCTGAATTCACAATATCGCTGTATGAAGGGCCAAAAACGGTGGGGTGGACCCGTAAGCAGAGACACTTACGCGAAATCCACGGGAATTTAAGAATCTCCTTCCAACGATACGATCCAACAAATCGAATAACGCAATTCGCAATACTTATTAAGCTTCCTACAGGATGGTTTGTTAAGAAGGGCGCGTCAATCTCACTGAAACTGTTGGAGTAGAATTCACACCATCACAATCGAATCGGTAGGATAAAGAAAATGATAGTGTTTATTCCCTCCTAGACTCCGGTTGTCATACCACTCCAATCGTCCAGTTTCAGGTCAAATGATACCCTGATGCTCCCTCCCAACCCAGTATTTATTTATATATATAGTAAACATATGTAATGGAGAAATGAAATATATCAGAACATTAAAATACGTAATAATGAAAATACATTTATATGGATAAAAAAACTGGTATTCCGCAATGAAAATAATAATTATTTTACATACAATATGATGCAGCTCTATGTCTCCTCAGCTCCCAATAAGGAAGATGTAACCCTGAAATTTCCAACAAAAGACACAGAAAAGGAGATTTTGTTAGTAAGTTGGGTTCGTTGGATCAGGATTCACCTTGATAAGTGATGCGACCATGGTTTTAAATGAATCAGTGTTATCATGCATTATACTTGGATTTGCCCGAAGCCAAAACCAAATGGTGTATCATTGGGCCTTATTACGGGTGTCACTACACGGTGATAAGAAAGTGATACTCAGAATAAGAGCCGTGATTACCGTACAAATCAAATGGGAATCACTTCACCGTGACGACAAGTGACAACTTTTCACCGTGATGTGACATCCGCAATAAGCCCCATTATAATACAAATCTGAAGACGTTCCATCATCGAAATGCTGAAAATGAACTTAGAGCATGAGCATGAGCAAAATTGATCGCCCGCGACTGCCAACACCAAAGAGCTGAAAACCAATTCAAACAAATCAAATCAACAGACAAAACCAGGGTGAAAGCTGTAAGAGCGAATCATTACAGTATAAATCTAGTGATGTTCCGTCATCAAAGAGCTGGAAGAAAACTCAAATAATTTAAATCAATAGATCCAGTCTGAATGAAGGCTGCAAAAAGAGAATAATTATACAGCAATGACCCCATTTTGTCAGCTAGCAAAGTATTTGTATCTTAAACATTCATCTTGAAGGAGGAAGGTATGAAATTACAATTATGTATAATTATTGAAAAATAACAGTCTGATGCGCGGAGAGATTGACAGGATCGGGTCATAACTGTAATGTGAATATTAGGAAGATTTATCATCATCAAACTATTCTTGAATTGACCTGGAAGAATGCTTGTGAATAATTGTTATACAGATAAATTAAATTAATAAACTAAATGGTTCAAACAACAACTCCAGCCTGTAAAAAAGCTGAAAATAGGGAATCTTTACAATGTGGATCCCCGACGGTCTTCTACTCAGTAAGCAAAAGCGGCAGCCACCAGGCTAGTCGATCTGCTCAATTTAAATATTGAAACCTTATTTATGAAGTTCTTAAGAATACCAATTGAAACACAATGTAAACAAATAAAAGTTAAGAGTCTCATCCGAATCAAATGATTCCAAACGATACGCATTCATAGAAATTAAGTTTAAATAGACAAAAGTAGAAAAATGGAACAATCTCACCAAATCAGTCCAACTGAATTCCTTGCAAGCAGCTATGTCACGCTTGGTGTAGTAGCTCCGATCATAGACCCGCCCTACGGGGATCAATCCTCTGGTCGAATGTAATCGATTGCTCCATGACGCGAACACGAAGCGACCGCTCACAAAATCATACAACGCGTAAACAAACTGAAATCAAAAACTATCACACGCGACGCCACAAATTTCTGTACCGGGAGCACAAGCGAAGAAAAAAACAAACAACGCCGATAGCGACACTTCTTCTGATGCCTGCAAACATGATGCATCACGTTTTCTTTTTCGATTCCAAAACTTCTCGGAAAGCGAGAAAACCACCAATCACACACGTATAACCGTCCAGGAGGCAGAGTGCCAGCGCTAATCTGGCAAAATCAGCGAACGCACGCACAAAACAGAAATAAACTTATACACAACCGTATCCGAACAGGTTCGAAGCTGAACTGCATCGAATTGAAAACATTTATTCCTTTAAAATATAATGAATTTTGTGGAGCACAGGTCAAGAAATGTGGTGTTCTTATTTCATCCGCGCGCGTTTCAAGTATTAAGTAAATCTATAAAAATCACTTCCTCTTTCAATTCGATCACAAAAATGTCGAGGTCGCAAACCGTTAACTACTTTAAAAATTAACACCATTGTCAAACATACAATTCTTTGCTTTACCGACAACCATTTTAAAGCGACTAACATCAAAGTTGAGGAAGTGACTCTATTACATCTAAAAATCAAACGCATTATTTTATTCTGCAAACGCTGTAATCTCGATATTTGTGTTGCATTGGCCAAAAATAAAATGAAAGAGCAACAATCTAGATGAGGAGAGATGATTGATTTGTATAGCTGTATTTTACTGGCAATAGTTCAATCGTTTTTCAATCGACATATAATTCCATACTTCTTGGAAGTTTTCTTGATGCCAATGTCAATGTCAATGTGAGAGTTGAAGAGTATTCATCTTTGGTTGAACTTGAGTTAGTCATCAATAATCTAGCCAAGATATTTAATCTCCCGAACGCGATCAATAGCCTCATCATCAATTACAACGGAGACGTTCTCATTCACTCGGTTCTACTTATATTCAAACTCAATTGCTTATACTTCAACCATCCACTAAAAGGATGCAAATATTCATTCAAGTGTGAAACGGCATCATTTAAATCCTTAGCTGCAATGAATAACACAGTATCATCTGCAAAAAGATTAATGTCGCAATATCGTAAAACTCGTCGCAAATCATTAATATACATAATAAATAAAAGGGCCCTAATACACTTCCTTGGGGCACTCCAAGGTTACCCCTCACGGGACTGGAAATATAATCATTAAAAACAGTATTTTGAGCTATGTCACACAAATAGCTTTCAAACCATTTATATGCTATGCTTGTAACTCCAAAGCGCTTGATTGATAGTAACAATATGGGCCTAGAAATTGTTTCAAAAGCGCGTTTTAGATCCAAAAAAACAGCAAAAATCGTATCTTTACACTCCAAGTTATTTTTCCACTTCGCTAATACCAAATCCGATACCGATTGTTTTGGTATCAACAAACTATTACTATTTAAATGCTCCAACAGCTGGACTTAAACAACAAGTTCTAAAATTTTCTCTAATATGTACAACATATTGATGGGACGAAACTTTTCGGCTTTAATCGTTCCAGCAACTTTTTGAATAAGAACCACTAAGGATTCCTTCCACATTTGAGACACATGTCCAGTTTGCAATGATTCATTAATAAGGTCCAGCAAGATGTGGTTAATGACATGGAAGCAATCTTGAATAACTCTAGCATTA